CCTGACCTCGTGATCCGCCCGTCTCAGCCTCCCAAAGTGCTGGGATTACAGGCTTGAGCCACCGCGCCCGGCCTGCCCTCTCCCATCTCTAAGCGGTTTTAAGCTAATTTTTCTGGCTGTTTGCCTACTCTGTGTGTGTGTGTGTGCGCGCGTGTGTCCGTGTGTGTGTGATGGGACTGTTTTCCTTAGTAGGGTCTCAGATACTCCCTGGGATGTTTGAGTTACCAGGGACACCTGCCCCTCGGTGTGGCACCATGGCCTTGGCTCATCACCTCTAGAGTTCCGGCAGCAGACACATACCCTTAAGTAATCTGATGGGGGACTCATCACATTACAGCCCAGATATGACTCTGGGGTGGCCCCAGCAATCTGCTTTAACAAGCTTCCCAGGTGACTCTGATGTTGGCTGAAGTTTGAGAACCCATGAATTAGGCCATTCTGAGGAGGTGATGTTTGGGCTATGCTACAGGAGTTTGTCTTGACCCTGCCCTAATGCCTTCCCTGACTACAAACCTTTAAAAAGAACCAAAACTCTGTATATGCCCTTCCTTCTCTTGTGCTGTTTCTTTAATTCCACTTGACTTTATGCTTAGATAGCTTCTTCTCAGCTTCTAAAACCAGATGTCTTCCCTGATATCCTTAAACACCCTCAACTGTTCTCCATCCTGAGTAAGCTGGTTCTGGGTTCTCTTCATATCTTTCCTCATTCATTCATTCATTTGAGTTTATTAAGCCTGAGCCAGGTCTTGGGTGAGGTGGAAGTGGGGTGCATGGCAGGGAAAGCTGAGAGACGCTTGGTGCCCAGCCACATCCTTGGGGAGCCTGCCATCTAGTAGAGAGGCAGAAGTGCTTCCCTGTGTCAGCACCGGCTTCTGGGGTCAGTCACAGCAGGGGCACCAGCTAGGACTGGGATGGGGGCAGATCAAGACCACCTTTTCAAAAGGGGTAACACTTGGTCTGAGACTCAATGAGCAAATAGAAATCAAAAAGCCCTGATAAAACAATATTAAAAATCATCTGGAAGAACACACAAGGGAAATAATATCGAAGAATGAATGTTTTTTAATAACAGCAAAAAAGGTAACCATGGGAGATACATGGAATTACTAAAGGCAAAGAATCAGCTGAGTGAAAATGATAGAAATGTTCTATGTATACTTTCTTTAAAATCAAAAATAGACAAGCCTGAAGTGAATGAACAGCCATCTAGTCAGCACTGGGTACTCCCTGATTATTCTTGGGGTTTTGTTTTCTTGTTGTTCTTTTGTCTCCAGGCATTGGCTCACCCTCCTCCCGCCAAGTATGCCTCCTTCCCCTTCTCCCCATACTTGCTGGTGAAAATCTTCCTCATATTTAAGGTTCAGATCAAAAGTTGCCTCCCTCGGAGGCCTTCTCTGATCCTCCTCATTGGAGGTGATTTCTATCCCCAGCAAGGCCAGAAACCCTTTTTGGTACGCTAATCAATGGTTAGCACACTTTGCTGCATTGTGAATATTCAGTAAATAGATTTTATTCTGTGATAGATGAAAGAACCTCTGGGATCAGGATAGCATCACACTTGTCTTTGTATGACCAAGATGTCTAGCCCTCAGTAACCAGTCCCTTCCCTGGATAAGATTATACACAACATGGCCGGGCACGGTGGCTCACACCTGTAATCCCAGCACTTTGGGAGGCTGAGACGGGCAGATCACGAGGTCAAGAGATTGAAACCATCCTGGCTAACACGGTGAAACCCTGTGTCTACCAAAAATACAAAAAATTAGCAGGCTATGGTGGCGGGTTCCTGTAGTCCCAGCTACATGGGAGGCTGAGGCAGGAGAATGGCTTGAACCTGGGAGGCGGAGCTTGCAGTGAGCCGAGATCCCACCACTGCACTCCAGCCTAGGCGACAGAGCAAGACTCTGTCTCAAAAACAAAAACAAAACAAAACAAAAACGATTATACACAACATGCAGGTGAGAGGGCCAAGCCACCATCTCCTGCTACATTCAACAACCACCTCAGGTGGATCAAATAATTACACTTTTAATCTAGTCATAAACTTTAATAACACAAATGGAGGATAGGAAAGTGATTTATGATTACTAAGTTGAAGATATTAATGGAGACAAGAATTAATGTGTTTTATTATGTAAAAACTTATTCAACAAAATGTAATAAACACGAAGAGTAATAAAGAGAAAATTATGTGACAAAAAACTTATTAAAATATGTTATCTAAATGCATTAAAGTTGATAAATAGTCATTAAATCAACACCCATATTCCTTTATAAAGTAGTTTAAAGTGAATAAACAGCTTTTACGCAAGAATACATAGATAATAAACACCATATGGAAATATGTAGCATTTTTAGCAATTAAAAATGCAAATCAAACCAGACAGAGTGGCTCATGCCTGTAATCCTAGCACTTCAGGAGGCCAAGGCAGATCGATCACTTGAGGTCAGGAGTTTGAGACCAACCTGGCCAATGTGGTGAAACCCCGTCTCTACTAAAAATACAAAAATCAGCTGGACGTGTTTGTGTGCGCCTGTAATCCCAGCTACTTGGGAGGCTGAGGCAGGAGAATCGCTTGAACTCGGGGGGCAGAGGTTGCAGTGAGCCAAGATCGCGCCATTGCACTTCAGTTTGGGCAACAAGAGTGAAACTCTATCTCAAAAAAAAAAAAAAAAAAAAAAAGCAAATCAAAACAATCAAAATACATCATTATACACGAATTAAACACTGTTTTTAGTGATAAAAATTTGCTTTAGCAAGGCTGTTCGTTTCTTTTTTATTTCTCTAAAGCCAGGGCTAAGAAAACTGACACCATTAAATTTTTCTGAGGTACAATTTGAAAATGCATAAAAAGAACAGTTACACCATTCCTATATTTTAACTACATAATTAAATTCGGGAGAAAACGTATCAAGAAAACAAACCCAGGCAGCGCACCTGTAATCCCAGCACTTTGGGGGGACCACGTAGGCGGATCACTTGAGGTCAGGAGTTTGAGAGCAGCCTGGACAACATGGTGAAACCCATCTCCACTAAAAATACAACTATTAGCCCAGCGTGGTGGTGCATGGCTGTAATCCCAGCTATTTGGGTGACTGAGGCAGGAGAATCACTTGAACCCAGGAGGTAGAGGTTGCAGTGAGCCAAGAAGAAGCCACTGCACTCCAGCCTGGGTGAAAGAGGGAGAATCCATCTCAGAAAAAAAAAAATAATAATACAAAAAAAGAAAAGAAACCCAAAAGAGAAAAAAATCACGAATTGTAATTTTTAAAAATCAGTAAACTGGGAGGCCGAGACGGGCGGATCACGAGGTCAGGAGATCGAGACCATCCTGGCTAACACGGTGAAACCCCGTCTCTACTAAAAAAAAAAATACAAAAAACTAGCCGGGCGAGGTGGCGGGCGCCTGTAGTCCCAGCTACTCGGGAGGCTGAGGCAGGAGAATGGCGTGACCCTGGGAGGTGGAGCTTGCAGTGAGCCACTGCACTCCAGCCTGGGTGACAGAGCGAGACTCCGTCACCAAAAAAAAAAAAAAAAAAAAAAAAGTATGTGGATAGGGACAAAAGATGAAAGTAAAAGCACTGATACATCTGGCTAGTGCAATATGCATGTTTTTACATTTCTAATATTCTTTGCTCTTACTATAATGTTTGTTCAATAAAATGGAGAGATATAAAATATTTCAAAGGCTAGTCTTCCTTTTCTTCTAACACATTCTCTTCATCAGGTCAATTTTCTCAAAATGTTCTCAATTCCAGCTTTCTCCATGATCAAGTCCAAACCTGCTTCTTGGAGTTTGCACCTTGTATGTTTCATAGCCCCTTTCTCCTCCATTCCCAGGTCATTCAGGCACCAGCCAGGTCAGCCTGCTTGAAGTCTAACCCTTCTCACCTTGACAAGAGAAGGGGCGGTTTGGGCTCTGTGTTCTTTATGTTTCTATTCTACTCCCGGGAACACAGATTGAGATTGAGTTAATAATGATTGAAGTATTTTTTAAGTGTGAGAGGCTGGGGGAATGTCGCTTTTCTAATTGGTTCCTGCTTTTGCCCAAGGCTCAACAAAAATAACTCCAGTTTGAACCTAGATGTGAAGACATATAGTCAGGAATGTTAGAAACTGAAAGGACAGGGCTGGGTGGAGAGTGCGCGTATGTTGGAGGTAGGGGGACATGATGGGGGAGGTTAGAGTTGGCGAAGATGATGGTATAAAGGGTCCCTCTTCCAGATCTCCGCCAGATTGCTCAGGAGCCGCGTTCTTTCCGCACAGAGCCAGCGAGTGAACTTCTCAAGGCGCTACCAAGCCCTCGCCAGGCGGACTGCTGGAAACGAAGCGGCAGGATCGGGCTGGGCTTAGGAGCCTTCTGTTTTGTAAACTCCAATACCTGGGTTTCCTATTTCAGGTATAGGTAGAATCGAGATGACAGGAAACCAGAAGCCCCTGGCTGGGGCAGGGCGGTACCCTTGTTTCCCAGTGTCAAAACCGCGCCACCAGCAGGTGCGAGGGGTCCGCGGAGGTGACGGCAAGGAACTTTCTCCCCAGTTGTAAACCTTTCGCGGAGACTACCTCAGGATTCTCTCTGCTTCGCAGAGGCAGGGAAACCAGCTGGGACAGAGTTGAAGGCCCGGCTCCTATTGGTGGGTTCTCCAGCCACCCCCGGCTTCCGCCCACCCCCGCCCACTCCAGGTGCAGCTCATCTCCCGCCGCCGCTGGGTGGGGGAGGGGGCAACTCTCCAAGCACAAGCTGCGCTGGGTCACTCGGCCGCGCTGATTCCCAGCCCCCTGACAGTCGGTGGCACCCAGGACGGCTAAGAGAGGTGGTGGAAGGGACTGGTGAGGGGGAGCTAGACTGAGGGGTCCTGCTCTCTTTTACTCTTTCTACTGGAAAAGAGGGTCTACGGGGACTGCAGGCATAAGTGCCAGAGGTGGGCTGTTGCCCGCAGGAGGGACCAGGGTAGGACGACCTGGACCCCTCTCCTACCCTCCCCCAGCAGGCAGTACCCCCTCCACGCCCCCACCTGCCCGGTCCACGCCGAGCTCACTGACAACTCGTGCGCTCCCTGCCCTGGAGCTTCGACCCCCAGCGCCATGGAAGCCGCTAATCTTTCAGTGGCCACCGCCAGCGTTGCCCTTGCCCTGGGACCCAAGACTTGCAGCAGTAGCCCAAGCCCGAGCGGGATACTCAGTTCGACCCCGGGTAATGCCGTCCTGCCGGGTCGGGAGCCGCCCTTCTCTGTCTTCACGGTGCTGGTGGTGACGCTACTAGTGCTGCTGATCGCAGCCACTTTCCTGTGGAACCTGCTGGTTCTGGTCACCATCCTGCGGGTCCGTGCCTTCCATCGCGTGCCGCATAACTTGGTGGCCTCGACGGCCGTCTCGGACGTACTAGTGGCAGCGTTGGTGATGCCACTGAGCCTGGTGAGTGAGCTGTCTACCGGGCGACGTTGGCTACTGGGCCGGAGCCTGTGCCACGTGTGGATCTCCTTCGACGTGCTGTGCTGCACGGCCAGCATCTGGAACGTGGCGGCCATCGCCCTGGACCGCTACTGGACCATCACGCGCCATCTGCAGTACACGCTGCGCACCCGCCGCCGCGCCTCGGCGCTCATGATCGCGCTCACCTGGGCGCTGTCTGCGCTCATCGCCCTCGCGCCGCTGCTCTTTGGTTGGGGCGAGGCGTACGACGCTCGGCTCCAGCGCTTCCAGGTGAGCCAGGAACCCTCCTATGCCGTCTTCTCCACCTGCAGCGCCTTCTACCTGCCGCTTGGCGTGGTGCTATTCGTCTACTGGAAGATCTACAAGGCAGCCAAGTTTCGTTTCGGCCGCCGCGGGAGAGCTGTGCTGCCGTTGCCGGCCACCATGCAGGTGAGGGGTGGGCTGCGCAATGTTGCTTGGGGAAGGGTTTGCTAGAGAAGGAGGCAGCTTGACGAATGGGAGAGTGGGCGGAAGCTTGTACGATTGGAGCGCGCGCCTACCTGGGGCGCACGAGGAAAAGTTTGCCATCAGTTCTTCTGAAGTGTACACCGAGGGGCTAGTCACCGGCGCATCTGGCACGCAATCGGGGGCTTCGCCAGCTGCGTACTTGGTGCGCGCAGAGGAAAAGGTTTCACCATCTGCACATTAGGGAGCTCGATGTGACACCGACCCACGGCGCACGATATGGCCGGTGGGGCTTGTAGGTTCAGCCTGTCTCAGTAGCGATGAGGGCACACCCTGTTACGGGCACTATCTGTTGTTTTCCCCCTGAAACGCCCCCGTCCATGTGAGTCCTGGAGCCGCGACTTCCTGGTCCCAACTAGACCTAGAGGGGATGCAGTGGACTGGGAATTCGTCTTGCAGAAATTCCTGTGGCCAATCACGCCTTATTTTCTGTCTCTACGGTACCCCAGTCTATCCCCTGCAGTTCAGAGACTATTCCCCAACTCTATTAGCCAGCACCCTGCCAAGGGGAACAGTGAGGATTTTAAAATATAATAATCGGTGTCACTTTACTTTTCTTATCTCAACCCCAGAGCTATCCTCTAGTGATTTAGGAAAGAGAACCATGGATTCAAATCCCAGCTTGGGACATTGGGACAGTTGCTTAATATCTGTGGGTCTCATTTCTTCATCTTTAAACATGTTCATTCCTCATTCATAGGGCTCTTAGTGAGGATTACGTGAGATGAAGAATGTAGAGCCCCTTAGCCGGGCACGGTGGCTCAAGCCTGTAATCCCAGCACTTTGGGAGGCTGAGACGGGCGGATCACAAGGTCAGGAGATCGAGACCATCCTGGCTAACACGGTGAAACCCCGTCTCTACTAAAAAATACAAAAAACTAGCCGGGCGAGGTGGCGGGCGCCTGTAGTCCCAGCTACTCGGGAGGCTGAGGCAGGAGAATGGCGTGAACCCGGGAGGCGGAGCTTGCAGTGAGCTGAGATCCGGCCACTGCATCTCCAGCCCGGGTGACAGAGCGAGACTCCGTCTCAAAAAAAAAAAAAAAAAAAAGAATGTAGAGCCCCTTGCATAGTGGCTGGCATACACTGGGTGGCAGACTGGCTGGAGAAAGAAGGGATTCAATAGGATATTGCCCGGCAATCCATAAGGAGCAGGAAGACAATGCTAGAAATGTAATGAGATGAGCAAAATTGCAATCGGCAGATCTTCTCTCACCGTATTTATTATTCTGTCTGAAGCTTTCTGCCTTTTGGCCAGGATCTAATAGGTGCTCAGCATCCTTCTCACTCTGGAAGCCTCAACTTTCTCTTTTGAGGGTCTCAGGTATTTGAATTAACATGCTCCCAGTCCTTTAGATTAACAGGATTTGTTGCCCTTTGCAGATACAATACATGGGGGAGGGAAGCGGTGCATAGAAGAGGAAAAAAAAAAAAAGGAAAGTTTTTTGTTGCTAGTTTTGTTTTAATTTTGGAAAATTAACTCAGGTACTTAGGCTACCAGACAAATATATGCGATTTTAAAAGTAGGCCTTTTTTCTTCTTCATTAAATGGCAGAGGAATTTTGCAGCATAAAATAGGAATGTCAAGACTATAATTGGAAAGTGTTGGTGAGGGAGAGCTTTATTCAGAATTAATGATGTTCTTTGAAAGGTCCCTTGGAAATGCCTGGGGTGATTATAGCTTTTCTGTCTGATTGCCAAGGTAGGGCTGACTTTTAATAGCTGCATCAATCCAATGTGCAGTTAGAGAAATTACAGTGAAATGGACGCCGGAAAAGCTTGCCAAGCCTTATTTTATTTTAGTGTTCATTTTTGACAGCTCCCATTCAGGCAGGTGACATAAGGAAGAGGTGACTGGATGAGAGGCTGGACAATCTGGAGTGTCCGTTGGTGGATAGAGAGAGCACGGAGAGGCAGAGGAAGTACTAAAATGTAGCCACTCCCAGCAGGAGGACCTGGGGTAAGCCCTTCCCCACTTTGGGCCTCAACTACTCTAGCATGCTGTTATTGTTCTAAGTCATGTCTAAGGGCCTCGAATCACAGGATGCTGAGATTGTAGATGGAGTAGTATTCAGTTGCATGCTGCTTCTTTGGGTCGCAGCAAGCCCTCACTCAAGCTTCTGGGTAATGTTCCTGAGTCCACGTTGGCAAGCCTTCTGGCAACAAGACACCTAAACAAAAGTGTAAAACACTGTGCCAGGAATACTTTCTCTCTACTTTCCCCCACCTGCATCTTTCTACACTCCAGGGGAAATGAGTTGGATTGAGTTTAGGCTCTGCAAAGTGTCTGTACTGTTTGCTGTAGGGAACAGGAGTCTATATGAAGCTTGAAGGCCTCTGTTGATGAGGCTGTGTAAAACCTTCATCTTTTTCAGAATTCTGTGTCTAGGTCCCAACACTAAAGTATTATAAGAAAGGGGTCTTGGCCGGGCATGGTGGCTCACGCCTGTAATCCCAGCACTTTGGGAGACCGAGGGGGGTGGATCACGAGGTCAGGAGATCGAGACCATCCTGGCTAACATGGTGAAACCCCCTCTCTACTAAAAATACAAAAAATTAGCCGGGGGCGGTGGTGGGCGCCTGTAGTCCCAGCTACTCCAGAGGCTGAGGCAGGAGGATGGCGTGAACCCCAGAGGCGGAGCTTGCAGTGAGCCGAGACATCACGCCACTGCATTCCAACCTAGGCAACAAAGCAAGACTCTGTCTCAAAAAAAAAAAAAAAAAAAAAAAAGGGGGGGTCTTATCAGAATGTACTTTTTGGGCAATGATTAATCCTTTGGGGCAAAATGCAGTTTTTGAAAGTTGAGAGGGAAAAAAAAATGTTTACTGAGTGAATTGTCTCTTCCAGACACATTTCTGATGCTTTACATTCACCCTTTCATTTCATTCCCACAATTCAGTAAAATTGGTATTAAGTCTGTATTAGTCAGGATAAGCTAAGGCATGCTGTGGTAACATGTAACCCCAAACCAGAAGTTTATTTCACTCTGACTTAAAGTTCAATGTGGGTCTGGTGGCCTACCTGCATAGCTCTCTTCCAGGCAGTCTCTCATGAATTTGGGCCATTTATCATTTTTAGCTATGCTGTCTTGCACATTTGCCTTCCCGATATACTGTGGGAGAAGATCTACATATGGAGATATACCAGCTTTTCACTGCCTTACCCTGAACTGGAAACATGTCACCACTATTTGCAGCCCATTGGCCAGCCATTGGCAGTGAATTGGAGCAGAACATGTGGCTATCTGGTGAGCACTCTCTTTGCCAAAAGGCCCTCATTTTACAGATGAGAAAACTGCAAGAGAAAACTGTGGTAAGGCACCACAAACCTAGTTCATCCAAAACCACACAGTTACTGGGTAGAGAGGCTGAAGGTTGTACCAGATCTAAGAATCACTGTTTTCAGCCAGGCACGGTGGCTCACGCCTGTAATCCCACGCTTTGAGTGGCCAAGGCAGGCAGATCATGAGGTCAAGAGATCGAGACCATCTTGGCCAACATGGTGAAACCCCATCTCTACTAAAAATACAAAAATTAACTGGGCATGGTGGCGCACACCTGTAGTCCCAGCTACTCGGGAGGCTGAGGCTGGAGAATCCCTTGAACCTGGGAGGCAGAGGTTACAGTGAGCTGAGATCATGCCACTGCACTCTAGCCTGACGACAGAGCAAGGCTCCAACTCAAAAAAGAAAAAAAATCACTGTTTTCATTACTCTATGCTGTCTCCAGGGACTTGACTTCTGAGGCCTGCCCCTCTGCTCATGGGTGTCTCAGTTTGAGAGGAATGAGGCAGTCATAGCCCAGTCAAGGTGGGTCCCATGAAGCAGGATCTCAAAACTCTTCATGTGAACTCTCCTTTCCAGGAGAGCTGAACACAATTGAGCACAAAAGCCTTGCCTGCTTCTGTCAGGGGACAAGTTTAATTTCTGCCCTGGTGTCTTTTCTTTCAACATGTTAAATTGAGACTCTGAGCATCCCATGTACAGTATAATCTGCTCCCCACCCCAAAGCAACCCTCATGGGTTACAATTACTTCCTACTGCCCTTTGCCCTTTACTGTTTAGAAAAGAAGAAACATTATTTCTTTGGCTTTTAAAATGTGACATCAAAAGGGTTTTTTTTTTTTTTTTTTTTTTTTTTTTTTTTTTTCTGTCTCTCTTTTCTTTGCTATTGCTTGTTTGACTTCTGTGTGCAATTTGATGCTGGGACCTAGTTATCCATCAGGCGTAGTCATACTATTGAGAACCAGAATTCTTTTAGGGACCCATAGAAATGTTTTAATTTCTTTTAAAATTAGAGGAAAAATGAATATAACACTAATGAATATATTATAATGAATCCAGTCTTGCTTATACTTGCTTATACTAGTCTTTAAATTAACATAATTTTAAGTATTTCTTAATGAAGGAAGGGATACATGAAGGCAAAGATGTCTAGGGACCACACAAATTATAATGAAACCTTGGTTAATATCTTGCCCTCATTCTTTTTTTTAATTGTACTATTGCCTTCTTTTAAAAGTTTTTAAATATATTTTTTAATAGCTTTTGGGCTACAAGTGGTTTCTGCTTACATGGATGAATTATATCGTGGTTAATTCTGAGATTTTAGTGCAGTTGTCACCAGACTAGTATCCCCTTCTAAGTCTCCAAAGCCCATTATATCACTCTGTATGCCTTTGCATATATTCATAGCTTAGCTCCCACTTATAAGTGAGAACATATGGTGCTTGGTTTTCCATTCCTGAGTTACTTCTCTTAGAATAATGGCCTCTTGCTTCGTCCAAGTTGCTGTGAAGACATTATTTCATTCCTTTTTATGGCCAAATAGTATTCCATGATGTGTATCACATTTTCTTTATCTCCTCATTCGTCGATGGGCACTTAGGTTGGTTCCATATCTTTGCAATTGTGAATTGGGCTCCTGCA